ATTGTTATCCTTAACATAAAGATTAATTTACTAAGATCAGGATGTTAAGAAGCTTTCTTGCCACTTTTCTTTCTTTGAAGGCATATATGAGAAAACAGAGAAAGTCCACAGACTTAATACTGAGTTTTGCCAATTAAGAACACTGATGATTTCACCCTAAATCGAGTATTTCTAAAATGCCCATCCCACTCGCCACCGCCAGTAATCCAATCATCCCAATTTAGCCCCCAGTTATCTTTTAATAAAAAAGCTTAAAAAATAAATTAAGTAAAGTCTCTCCTTGCATCCGTCTTTCTCGATCTATTTTTCTGGAGCTTAGATCTCTACTGTTGATTTTCGATCTCGAAGAATCCGGTATAGATCGGATTCAGATGTCGGCGTCGAGGCGATTGCGGGACCTCCAATCGCAGCCAGGGAACAAGATCTGCGTCGATTGTTCTCAGAAGAATCCGCAATGGGCCTCCGTCTCCTACGGCGTCTTCATGTGTTTGGAGTGCTCCGGCAAGCACCGTGGCCTCGGTGTCCACATCTCCTTTGTCCGATCCGTCACCATGGACTCCTGGTCCGAGATCCAGATTAAGAAGATGGAAGCTGGCGGGAATGAAAAGCTTAATGCTTTTCTCGCCCAGTATGGTGTTTCTAAAGAAACAGATATTGTTGCCAAGTACAATACTAATGCTGCCAATATTTATCGCGATCGGATCCAGGCCCTTGCTGAGGGCCTTCCCTGGCGGGACCCGCCCGTCGTTAAGGAACCGCTTGGTGGTTCCAATAAGAAGCCCCCGTTGGGTGGCGGTGGTGCCAAGAGCGGTGGTTCCGTGAGCAATGGTGGGTGGGATAGTTGGGACAATGACGATTCGTTTAGATCTAATGATATGAGGAGGAATCAGTCTGCTAGCGAATTTAGAAGTGGCAGTAATGGTAGCGGGATGGGAGGTGTGCCAGTGAGATCGCGATCGACAGAGGATATCTACACGCGCACACAATTGGAGGCTTCTGCCGCGAACAAGGAGAGCTTTTTCGCTAGGAAGATTCAAGAGAATGAATCGAGACCCGAAGGGATCCCACCATCGAAAGGTGGGAAGTATGTCGGGTTTGGATCGAGTCCTGCGCTCTCCCAAAGGAATAATTATAATTCACAGGGAGATGTGATGTCTGCTGTGTCTAAGGTGATGGTTGTTGCTTGTATAATCTTTAAATTTGGTTTGTTGGATTTTATTGGGTGAAAATGTTTGATAATTGGTGAATGTGTTGATTACGCAGGGGATTGGGAAGTTGTCTCTGGTTGCTGCATCTGCAGCAAATGCTGTCCAAGTTGGCAGAAGGGAGATTACAACCAAGGTATTTTTGTTATGTTTGTTTCGGAAAGATTGATGCTTCATGTTGACTGAATATGTTAATTAGTTGCATATCTGTAAGTATTCATTGTCTATGTTTTTTGGGTGTCACATTGAACTATAGAAATGCCGTCCATCATAGGCACCAAAAATATGCTTCGGGCGTCCTCCCTTCTCCATTTACTGCTATCAATTTCTCGTCCTGGGAAGTATATTTGTTTCTATATGCAATAGAAGACAGACTTTTAATCTGCTGCAGGGTTGGCATTCCTTTATTTGTTTATACCTTAAGATTTTTGGATGGTGCAATGTCTCCCTCCAAGGATGTTATATAAGGCACTCTGGGTAATTTTGTCAAGTTTTAGGAATTACTGATTTGTTTTTATTTTTATCTTTAGTTAAGTTGCATGCATATTTTAGTTTTTATTTACATTTTGTATATCCCTCTTACATGTGAACAGTGGTTCTTTTGACTGTATGATTCTTTTGTGCCCTAAAAGATTCTATGATTCTGTTCAAGCTTAAGCTCCTATGCCTTGTTTTAAGAACTTGTGCAAACCATCCTTAATGTTGTCTACTAGCTGTTTGCTTGTACTGTTATAATGGTGGCAATGTTTCAAACTAGATACACATGCCTGAGTTGACCCTCTTTGCAGGTTAAGGAAGGTGGCTATGATCAGAAGGTTAATGAAACTGTAACTGTTGTCACTGCAAAGACAACAGAGATTGGGCAGAGGACCTGGGGGATCATGAAGGGGGTCATGGCATTGGCTAGCCAGAAGGTTGAGGAGTACACTAAAGATGGCATGAATTGGAAGAATGATAATTGGCAATCAAATGAGAATGAGAAGAATGGTTATTATCAGGAGTTTAATAAACAAGATAATAATAAAGGATGGAATTCTACGTCTGGACAACCATCCTCAACTGATGGGGATTACTCTTCTAGGGGGAATAACAACTCTTATAGCTCAAGTTCTTGGGACAATTGGGACACTAAAGGCAATAGAAAGGAAGATACGAAAAAGGGTTGTGAGAGCTACTCCTTCAGTGGGAATAACAACTCTTATGGCTCAAGTTCCTGGGATGATTGGGACACTAAACACAATAGTAAGGAAGATACCAAAAAAGGTAGTCAGAGCTACTCTTCTAGTGGGAATAACAACTCTTATGGCTCAAGTTCTTGGGATGATTGGAACTCTAAAGACAATAGAAAGAAAGATACCAGAACAGGGACTGTTACCTCTAGCAATGATGTTTGGGCTGGATGGGATGATGCCAAGGACGATGGATGTGATAATTTCTACCAAAGTCCACCTGATAAGAAGGCTGTTGGCCACAATGGAAAATCAGATACAACATGGACGGGTGGAGGCTTTCTCTGAGGTTATTCCATTATATATTTAGCCTCTTTAAGTATTCTCCTTTTGCTTTAGAGCCTGTTTTGGTTGTGGGAAGTGGAGAGAAAAGTTAATTTGACGTATCTTTTGTTATTTTCTGGTGTTTAGAACTTTTTTTCTCCTTTTCTTTTTGGGGGGGAATGGATCTTTGTTTTAATTTTAATCTAGGGAAGAATAGAAAAGAAGATTGGTGGAGTAATTGATAAAAACTATCTCCACTGTTAGTTACCTTTGAAGTCTTTCCAGAAAACTTGGGAATTTCTTGATAAATACTCTTTCACTAGTTGGCTTTATGGTCATCAACAATTCAAGATACATACTGTTGTAATTCTTTATTGTTTCAAAATATATATATATATATATATATATATATATGATAATAGCAGCTCGTTTGGCTTTAAGGTTTACTTGAGGTCAGTTGAGTAAAACTTCTCCTTTCCTTATTTAACTAGGGAAAAGATTGAGAATTTCTGACTCACAATCTATTTGTTTCTTTCGCCCTCTACTTCCATCATCTCTTCGTAACTCTAGTCACGAACTTTTCTCCTTTTATCTTTTCACGTCGTTCAAATAGACGGCATGGTTATCATGTTCCTTTGTTGTAGAAATGTTCGCATGGAGGAAATAATCTGCCCAGGATCAATGATGTCACTGTCATCCGAAACTGGAATAATAGACTAAGAGGAATGCTAGCTGCACTCGCCTTTCTCCAGCACTCTCCAACACTCTCTCATGTAAAATGTCCACGTAACAAACTCTGGCTCGCAATTCAAAGTTTCCAACTAGTGTTGGAGAGTGCTGGAGAAAGGCGAGTGCAGCTAGCATTCCTCAATAGACTAATGGTAATATGGTATTTAGTATCCCCAAGTGACGGCTCGCTTACTTGCTGGGTGAAGCTAAGCTTGATGGGAGGAATATTATTAGAAAATAGAGCATAACTGATAAATTTATAGTGGCAGTCAATTTTTTGTCGACTATAGTCGATGTAAAAGTTGTTGATTATAATACTCTGTTGATTATGTATTCTATTGGCGTGTATAATCGATAAAAATTATAATCAATAATTTTTTTGTCAATTATACAAAATTTTCTATCGATTATGTACTAAACATAATCGGTACATAATCAACAATTTTTTTATTGATTATACTTGTATAATTAATAAGAAATTGGTTGTTGATTATGTATTAAATATAATTAACAACTTTTCTATCGATTTTATGAAAAATAAAGCATTTGATAGTTGGGGTTTTGTTGGTTTAAAAAAAATTAAATTTCTACTGGTGCAAGTCTTGAAAAATTGATTCTTTGTATCTTTAAAACAAAAAACTTTACAGAACAATTAATAAAAAGAAACTAAGTAAAAAAAAATCAAAAAAAGAGAGAGAGCAAGAACTAGATAAACCAACCTTTTGATAGGATAATTATAACTTTTATAGAGCATTTACTTGAAATCAACCAAAATATGCAAATGAGAAAACCTATTTATTATCAGTTTAAAGAAACAGTGCATTAGTTTAAATAAAAAAGTTTAAAAAATTTAAAGGAAAGTGCAAAAAAAAAAAAAAAAGCGCTGAGTGTATAATCGACAACAAATGACTGTTGATTATAACAACATAACTGACATCAAATTTGGTTTTGATTATACTCGAAACCCCATTCAACTCAAAAAAATTAATCTCCTAACTAATTAGATTTGAAATTTAATCGATAACTTTCTTTTAATATAATTGACAGAATTTCTGTCAAATATATTGACCATATAAGGGCCCCAAAACCAAAACATCCAATTGCCTTCTCCTTTTCATTTTCAGTTATCTCTCCAATTCTCCTTCTTTCCCACAGGTAAAATATCCTATTTTTTCTTTCAACTTCTTCTCATTTTAGTTTTCGTTTTCTATTTTTCTTTCTTCTTTTATATTCTTCCATTTGTAATTTTACAAATATCTCTAGTTTTATTTCATTATTCATATATACCTATTCCATTATCATTTTTGTTGACAATCCATCATTTTCTTTCTCTTCATCCTTCTCATTCAATGCTTTCTTTTTTTAA